AAAAAAAAGCAGTAAGAGAAAGAAAGCTAAGCTGCATGAAGTGAGTCTTAGGAGCATTCTGTTCCAAATCAATGAAAAGCTCTGGGTTAAGAACAACTTGGTAAAGATTTTGCCACCAAGAGAACAATAACAACGTTACAAATATCTCTGCCCTATTTGCAGGCAGTTCAGTACAAAAGGCAATACGAAAAATGCAACCTTTGCATTCAGAGTTGCTGCAATGAATTCCACATATGGCTTCACAGAAGTTTGCACTACTGTGGGCATCTTCCAAAGACAAAAATTATGGGAGCAGTTAGCTAGGATTAGCACTTTATGGAAACAGTGCATATATTGTCCTTTCCCACTGCTGGCTCTCACCAATGGCTCCTTCTCTGGGAATTTGGGAGTCTCCTGTTCTCTCTAAACTACTAGTCAGTGACTGCCCCATGAAGCAAGAGTAAAACCTTCCTTCCCAACCACTAATTAGTTATCACACTAAATCTATTCCACCTCTAGGCTCTCACTGAGAGTCAATTTAAGTCTCAAATGGGAAAATCGGGCATCCTTTTCAGATATACAAGAGCTTTATTCCCATTAGCTCTAGTTCACAAGGGCCTTAGAGAGACAGAAGCAGAGTGACTTCCAGCCTGCCCCATTTCCTCATTAGGAAGTACACAGCATGGTACTATTTCCTGTACGTGACAATACGGTGAATAATCTGCTATAAAAGCCAGCCAAGTATGCATTGCGAGATGACAAATTATGGACAGGATAAACTTAACAAAACCTTCCTTTCAAACCAAGATTGAATGATAAAGGCAGGGACCCACAGTTGATCTAAAGGCATGAAGCATCAGCAGGTCTCTGGAGAGCCTAAACCTACTTCATTACAATTGCTGCTACCCCACAGTCTAAACATCCACAAAGTAACTACAGCAAAGTTTGATGTAGAGTTTATAACCAGCTATTGCCACAATTCAACTTCTATTTCATAGCTGGTCCTTTGAAGCTTCAGTTGGCCCAGGGCTAGTTACAAACCCTGCTGGGAAGGGCAGCAACTGAACAAACACAGGAAATGATGTCCCAAGATACCACTGTTCTCCAACAGGAGCAGTGAACATGGGTAAGCTTTCTTGCCTTTACCAAAGTAAACAATATACAGAGTGTTACCAGAGTAGCTGATGCACTGTAAATTCACTCCTGCACTTACTTCTCAGAATATTATTTGCATACTCAGACTTTGTATGCAACACATAGTTAACTTGTGGAATTCACTGCCACAAGAGGTGATGGAGGCAGAACAGCCTCGCCAGGTTCAAAATGGGACTAGATAAAAAATCCTGGCTGACAGAGCTATTAATGACTACTGAACAGAATAGTTGGAGATGTTTCCTCTGGCATCTCTACACCTATAATGGTGGATGCCAGGGCAAATACTGAATATGGGATAGGTCACTCAAGATCCGATTCAATGCTCTCCCTCTATTGCATTCATTTCTGCCACTGTCAGAGACTGACTACTGGGCTAGATGGGCAATTGGTCTGACCCAGTATGGCACTTATGTTCTTACAAATGTGATAAACTCCCCTTCACTTGGGAGAAGGATTCTAGAGTCTGGGAGGACCCAAGTGGAGAGCTTCACTTAAGTCCTTTTCTGACTGCTGCACCTATACCACCCTTCTGCTCACTACAGGCAGCAGGGAATCAGCCCTGGACCTTTTCTCTGAACAAAATTACCTAAATTTGAATAAACATTTATTTTCATCCATTCAGGCACTTCAGATTGAGGCTCACGACAATTCCCACAGCAGTGGCTAAATGTTTTAGCTTGATCTAAGCACTTCACAATTTGGGAGCTTTAGAAAGAACTGACCCATAACTAAGAAGTCCAAAACCCTTGTCCTGCTGTGCATCTCCCTTTGAAAGGACAACTTAGTGTATGCCACAATATGGAATTATTGCCATTTTCATACTGACACATTAGCTCTAGTTTATAGAAGGAATGATCTCAGATTTGATTTTCTCTTAGTACATGCCAGCAGGCACAATGTACAAGCTATCAGTCATTAAGCCTCGGAAATATAAAACATGCCCATGACCTGTTTTCATGTGCAAGTGTGACCTGCATTGATCTGCCTACTTCCCAAATTTAAAATAAAAGCCTTGAAGTAGCAGTGGCCCCCCCCAACCATTTGTAGTGGACCCTTTAGGTCTGAAGTAAGTTTCTGGTACAAGTGGTACAGGTTTTGCATAGTAGACAGGCAATTTGTGAGGCTACAAGTCCTCCTTTCCCTCTCACTAGGCCAAAGTGGTCCCCGTTGCCTGTCTGGGTTACTCAGGAACAGCACCATTATTGTTTTTTTCCCTACTAAAAGTTCTTTTATCATATTTAAACAAGTTTCTGTAGCCAAACAGACTAAGGTACCCATTCCAACACAGCTGTTTGACAAACCTCTAATGCAGTGTTCAGCCAGTGGCTCAAACAGGTCGAAGGTTGCTGTGGCTCCATCTGACATTGTGAGGTACTTGCGAAGACCATAAGGATGTGGTGATCTCACTCTCCCCATCTTCCCATAGAGAGCAGTCTGGATATGTCCACTCTTCCCCCAGATCAGGGGTGGAATGTACCTGCAAGGAAACAGAGGTAGTATTTGGTTCTGAAGTCTTACTATGTCTTACAAATCTACACAAGTCTACTTTAATTCAGGAGAAGATGCTCCCATTATTACTCGTTGTTAATTGAAACAAGGTGCAATATACTTGCTACCATGACTGCATCAGCCTTGTCAGCTCAGAGAGGAAAGAAGAGGAGAGCTGCTGACCGAGAAGTCATCAGCCCTGACAGCAGCAGAGGATCCACAGGGTCCTGAATAACCTGGAATCCAAAGTTTCCTGATCATTAAGGTGGTAACAGACGAACAAACAAGTGCCCACAGAAGACTATAAGGTTTCCAACTAGTCTTTGGATTCGATGCGAACCCAGTACACATTCAGCCACTTGAAACCTGATCTACACCACTGACAAATTTTGAAGTCTTTCATTAAGAGGGTATTAAAACTTGCTGGAAGGCAATCCACAGAAATACTCCTGGGAGCACAAGCACTTGATTACGTAGCAGGTCGGTAACAAAACCAGGCTCATAGTCTGGTCTCTGACCTCAGTCACATGCTAAGTCTCAGGGCAGTTCTTCTGTATACTATATATTACCAGTTTCTTTGTATGCTGCATTGAAGAGGACAAGTGACTGGTATGTTGCACTAAATCAAATGCCTCTGACAGGTTAGGATGCCAAAACAGGCAAGGGCCGAAGAAAAAGATCCATAATAACGAGGCAACTCGACTCCCTTCAAGGCCACTTAGGAAAGCACTTCCTTTCAGATGAAGGGTAAAACAGTTCTGCTGCTTATCAGAAGCACAGGGGGATGGCTGCCAAAGCCGATGGCCTTATTGTCTAGTTTACTGTTCCTCCGAAACCAAATGGAAAAACATGGGGGTTGAGGGAGGGGCAGGTAAACCATTCTGCTAACAACATAGTACAGTCGGCAAGAATTCAAAGCTAAATGAGAGGCATAAAGCTGCACAGGCATGAAGAGCTGCCACCTCAGCACCAGGAAAGGGGTGGGGGGCAGAGGCCTTGCACACCTCAGGAGGCATGCAACTACACATCAGGCCTTAACACAAAAGCATGGCTACGATTCATTAACCTGGAGAGCAGAAAAAGCCTCAGGGGACTAGTTCAAAGCACACTTCCCAGTTCAGAAGCTCTTTGCTACAAAGGGCGCATCCCACAAAGCAGGTCAGAGAGCAGCTGACACCCCGCGGAAACCGGAGATGGTGAAGGGTGGGCTAACAGCCTTGCGTCTTCAGAACGGCTTGCTGGATCACATGAAACAATTTCTTGTTTTCTTGCGAGGGCAAGGGGAAAGAGGGAATACATGGCCCAAAACCTAGTTCTGTCCCCTCCTCATTACTTTTCAGGCAGCAACCCAGCCAAACAAGGGCTGGCCTAAGCCTCACATCCAGGCCTTCCTCCCCTTCCCTGTATGCCAGCAAGGGGCTGGGGGTTTTCCCTCTCACCACAAACAGAAGCAATATATGATGTGGACAAGGCTGATTCTGTAAAGTAACATACTCCCTCCAGCTCTAAGTGCTTTGCTGGTCTACTGTATCCAATTCCCTGATTCTACATCTGTTCTGTACATAGGTTGGCAGATCCCCCTTTTAGACAACACTCCTTAGCAGCATGCAGCTCAGCCTATGGCTCTTGGGTGATAAAAAGTAACCCATTTACCTGTCCAGAGATGCATTATATTCTTGGCAAACAAGATTCTTCGGCTGCAGGTCTATAAAGATACAGGGGGGTTACCTTCACTGAGAAGCAATCCACTGCTAAAAGCAGATGAAGAGGAAATTACCAGCCTAAACCTGGAAGGGGGATACAGTTATTATGCAGGGCTAGGACAGCTGACATCCACCTTAACATTCACATTTCACAGCCTCTTGAAGGGATTCAACCCAGGTTCTTATCTACCAACTGTCAGTGAATGTGTACAGAGGACTCAGCATTTTCTTGGACAGCATAGCTGTCTTATTCTGGTTTTGGCAGGCATACATCTGGCTGGTATACTCAAAACCCTAGTGAAAAATAGACTGAAAGCCTGTCGGGAGGGAGAATCACTTGCAGCCTGTACCACTGCCACAGGCCCTGCACAAGAGGCGAGGAAGGCGTCCCACAGGAAGGATGCAGGACTGAAGCCTCCAATGGCTGGAGAGCGGGGGGGGGGGGAACAGCTAAGCCAAGAGCTTTGTTTCCAGCATGTGATGCAAGGAGAGGGGAAAGTAGCAGGAAACCACCTCTCCAAGCCTTCTCTCATCCCCCTCCCAAAGTTCTGAATGATGGGGACAAAGATCATTCCTTATGATCTTGCTTAAAACAGGCAAGAGTAGTTGCACTGTCTTCTGTTCACCTCAATAGTGTGGGAAGCAGGTAACAGAGTGTACATAGAGCACCAGAAGGAACTTTGGCTCTACAAGTCCCAACACTGAAAACATTAAATACCAAAAATTTCTATTTAGCATCATACCTTGCTATTAAAGGGATAATCAACAAAATGTCACTTTTCAAGGTCTCAAGCTTTAAGAAAGGGCACAAAGGTTCTTGAAAAAAAATTTTCTGACTTGAGATATGAAGTCTAAGGGTCACATCTAAATGGAAAATATTTACTGCAAGTGCTAGAGCTTAAAGGTTGGGAAAGAATGTATTACTTAAAGATCTAAATTCTGCTTTAAACATACGTGGAAACCTGCTACAGTTCCTCCATAATACACTGCCGGAAAAATGCATAACCACTGGAGATTACAGAACAGGGTCCTTCTCGAGAGTTGGAGAGAACGCAATGATTATGTACTGGGAACAAGACTACGTGAAAATGTGCATCTGTGGTTACCAGATCCTGGAAGACAGAAACAACAGAAATGGAAATGTGCTAGAAGGAAGCCCCGATCAAATAACGACCAAGAGTTGGAGTTTATTCCAAGTTGATTACAGCTGCTCTGAAAATTTCTCTAGGCCATGCAAATCCTGAAATCCTACCAGCTGTGTATGAAACTGTAATTTAAAATGTATTGGTTACAAGGAAGAGGCTAGGGTGATGCAGGCGCTAAGGTGCATGGTTGACAGCCCGAAGGTTACAAGTTCGAGGGCAAAACAGAAGCACTCACAGTGCGGCCTGCCGGATTCCAATGAATCTGCGAGTTCTGCTGAATACCTTGTCACAAGGACACAAAAAAGGAAGGACAATCTACAACAATAAAATCAAAAGCTACATCTTACTACCTTTGTAAAGGAGAAGACAGTGTCACAAGACACACTTGATTGAGAAGCACCATAGATATGGCCAATAACTGCCGTTTCAACTCAGCTGTTCACTGTCTGACACAACCCCACTTTTTTTTTTTCTTTTGATCGCTAAAAGGCACAAGATTTTCTCTCCAACTCCTTGATGTTTAACAAAGAAAGAGCTATACAGTATCCAGGAAAGAATAGCAGTTCTGATAAGTCCACCACAGCTAACCTAATGATTTAAATATACATCAACCAAAGCACTTCACTGACTTCCAAAGGCAACAGCAGAAAGACAGAAGGAAAGGTTTGGGGATTTGGGGCTTTTTCTAGACAGATCTAGATGTCCAAAGGAATGACACACTACATAGCCACAAGATCATTTCTAATGGTCAGTGCCCAAACACAAAAGATGAGGGCAAGAATCTTAACCACTACAAGACAGGTGCCACTAATTTGATAAGAGTTGGCAATCTGGTTTCTCCCCATTAGTATCTTTGTGCTTTTCTTCATGCTGCTTCCTTATCACAGGGCAATACTTCTGCTCATCACAAAACACAACAGCTTGAAGAAGGCAAATGCTAGAATCCCACATACCTTATCTGATGTAGGAACTGTTCTCAAACAAAGGAGGGTCACTGAACTCCTTGCTCTTTGGCAGTCCTAGACTATAGACAAGAACTTGGCCCTGCTGCTTACCAACAAGAGAAAAAAATCACTCTTTCCCCCCTCTCAGGAGCACCAATCTGGTTTAGATACAAGTTTGGCCATTCTCCTCTATGTTTCCATCCTCTATCTTCATTCCTTGCTTTCAGCACAGGACCAGAAAGACAAGTTCAAAGGAAACCCCAAACCAAAAATGTAACTCATTGTTCATGCAAGCAGACTTGGAGAAGGCCAAAAAAAGATTCTGCAGGAGTAATATCTACTTCTATAGGTCACAGAGCATGAGAGACTAACTACTTTGTTTAGAAGAACTGTTGCCTTGTAACCACATAAGTCATCCCTTTGTGTATTTTATGGAAATCCATCAGCCAATTATAAACTTTTAAAAGAGGCTGCAAGAGAGAGCTAATAGCATTTATCTTTTACTAGCAAAGCATCTTTATATGTGCAAATATGCACTGGGGCTGGGGGACTGCCAGCAGCAGTTTGCAAAATGTCAGGCACGTTAAGATTTTTCAGCAGTTATGTGCTTGGGAAGAGAAAGGTTTCATCAGCCTCAGACCATGGGTAAGGAAGGAAGCTGGGTCATGGAAACATGTTTGTCAAGATAAAATGGAACCAAGTGAAAAATCATTCACAATGATCTGCTGTGCAATCCCACACTATAAATGCCACAAACTGCTTGAACTCATTCTTCATAGTAATGAATGAGCCTCATGCGATTCCTTGCGCAGGGTACATAAATGGATACAGTTTATTTGAAACCCTAATGAGCTGGTATGCAAGCCACAAATAACCAGATGGCTGATTAGAAACAAAAGTCCAGCTCTGGCAGCACTTAAGACAAATTCAGTTACAGTGCTTTTTGTAGAAGAGTTTCAGGCTGTAGTATCATTGTCAGCCCATGTTAAGTGGTGCTTTACTTTGAAATTGCTTTTGGGAAATGCATTTTGCTTGCAACTCTTATTTGAAGTTTAAATATTATGCACTATCCATACAGGTTGCTACACTCATTGCCAGGATATCCCAGTGCCTTCCAGAAAGCAGATGTTAAATCTAACATGTTTCAGGGTTATTGGTTGTAGCCGTGTCAGTCTAAAGGCAGGGGTATCCAACCTT